AGGGCAGTTCCCTGGGGAAATACAAGCTACAGAAGATACATTGCTCAGCCCTCTGTTTGCTGGGGCAAAATATCTGTTTAAACAATTTAAAAGAGATGTTTCTCTTTAGCTCCTGGCTCCAGAGATTTGTGTCCATGATGGTCCAACTGTGAGGTATAAAACTCATGGCAGCAAGGCCTGGTAAAGAAAAGATGCTCAACTTGTGTCTGTGAGGAAGCAGAGCAGGTTAGAAAGAACCAGAGAGGAAAGGGCCAGGATCAGGGAAGATCACCCCTCCACAGCCTGCTTCCTCTAAGCAGGCCCCACCTTCCAGTCTTCCACTCCGCTGTGAACTCATCACTGGTTTAATCTGCTCATGAGTTTAGGGTCCTCACAATCCAGTCACCTCTAGGAGAGGTCTTCAATCCAGTCAAACTGGTAAGCAAGACTAACTGGCATAGGTATATGCAAGACTAAAGGAAAATGCCAAATATTTCAGATTGTTTCCTAACGCAAATCTTTCTCCCAGGGAGAAGAGCGAAAACTTTTTCCACTGTCGTCCCCCTCTTCTTTTTGATCTAAGCATCAAATGAGAAGCAAACTAGAAAAGGATAATATGAGGAATCGTTGTAGTGATGGAGTTTTTCTGCATCTTGATTGTGGTGGTGTTTACATGAAAATGTTTGTGACAAAATGACATAAAACACACATAACGCGCTCACATAAATGCATGTAAAAACTGGTGAAATCTGAAGAAGGTTGATAGACCATGGCAATGCCATTCTGTCGTTGTGATACTGTACTGTAATCATGTAAGAAAATAGTACTAGAGAAAACAGGATGGAGGGTACAAAGGATTTCTCTGTATTAGTTCCTGCAACTGTATGTGACTTTACAATTACCTTTAAAATTTTGTCAAGCAAATTAGTAGGGGCAGCATTTTCTTAGAATGACTAGCTGAGCAATTTTCCATCTAATTTAGAAATACTAGGTCGGGTGTGATAGTCATCAGAATTGTTTAAAGTTTCAAATGTGCAAGTCAACACCGTGCACTGTGATTGTTGGAATTCTTTTATGTTTTAGTGCTGTCTAAACTAAAGGGCATGTAGCAAAAGGATTTCAGCAGAGTCAGGAAAAAGAAAATAGGGAAAGGTAAGAAAAGAGATAAATGCTAAGCAGTTTATTTTTCTTGTTCTAAGGTATTCTCATCTCAGACATGATAACCTTAAATATTGAAAGAAAGCAATCAGGTGCTTGATAGTGTGACAACTAAAACTATCTATGTGTCCCTTAAAGATACCAAAGCCCATGCACGCAATTTATTCTAATATATTTTAAAATCTTGACCTTCTCAGGAAATAAGAATAATCTATTCTCTTTCACGTAAATAGACAGCTGGGTAGATGGACATACAGACACACACGTACACATCCTACTCATTTTGTTGGCAGTTGATCACCTTGATATAAATCTAATATTCACTTAAAGGTGATTTTAGTGAAAAAAATTAATGAACTTTAAAATTTGATTTCACAGCAGACAATTCTTCAAAGAACCCGCAGTGCATTGCCAGGCCGCACTATTCTTTTGCACGCATTCATTTTCCACATTAAGCATTTTTCCAATTTTTTTCAACTTAGGTGACCAATAGTAATTTCTCTACTTAAGAACTTGGATTTTATTTGAAAAATTTCCCCAAGTACTTCAAATTCATTTTGATGATAAAAGAGCTGTGGTCTTTAAAGTGTAGGTTTTAGAAGCTTTGTCTCCACTACTCCAAAATTATTGGAACGACAAGGTGAGGTGACCACATAGCCCTAAATGTTTATTAGATACGTGGACTGAATTTACCAGCTTTGACAACCTTATAATCATTCAGTTTGATGTCCATCGAAATATACATAGCAGTACGCTGATTTCTGTTTGCCTCTTTGTTTTGATGAAGATCGATTATGTTCATTGTCTATAAACTCTACAGATACAAGTTTTTAATCCATATAATTTGTACCTGAAGATTCCTTATTTTTACTTCTCTTTGATTTGCAGTGCTAGATTTTAACTATCCTGATTGTAAGTTTGTTTCCAATGTATTGCATGACACTGGGATATTCAATCAAGCATAGACGATCTTTCAGATTTTTACACTGTGTTTTCACACTTGAAGTATTCTTGGTAAAAAAAAAATGATTTTGCTCTAACTTATCTAATTGATTTGAATTGATCAGTACCTAGAGATGTGTAGATTATGCCTTTTCTTTTAAAAAACAAATCAAGTAGATTACAACCAAAATCAGTGCATAACAGTTTTATCTTATACAGAATTCCTAATCTCACATTATGGTGTGGTTTAATTTGTTGCTGCTGCTGTTTTGAATGAGACTGTTCTGGTCCTTTTAGTTGGAACTACACAGCCTCCCAGTCTGCTGGGTTTTGTCCTGTGTTCTCTGTATGGTTTTCTCTGTGTGCATTTCCTGTCTCTCAGGGAGCTTGCATCTCTGAGTAGCAGAGGCTCTACCTAGGATTTAAGCCTCCTCTTCCAAGAACCCCAGGGTGAATTTCATGTAATTGACTATTTTCCTGTTTGGTTATTTGGAATAATGAAATATATTCTTCCAACTCCTCATCTATTTCTTGTTTTTAGATCAGTTGTTCAAGGAAATATCTAACCTCTTTTAAACTATGAGTTAAATGGATTGTCCTTATTTTGCAGAGGGAAATTTGTGCCAGGCACCCTTCACTACCGTCCAGTGAGCAGAGTCCCAAAAATTTCTTATTCTAGGGATTACATGGCTTTGTGTGTGATCTCATAGTAGCCACATATCAACTCTCAGAAGTAAGTTTGCTGTTTTACTTATGGAGAAATTAAACCTAAAGAACCTGCCTGACCCCAATATACCAGATATAGAAGAGCTAGGACTTGAATCCAAGTCTTCTTATTCCAAATCTAGAGTTCATTTCAATAGACTACATTTGTCTCCATGAAGAGGTTTCTGTAGAATTAAGTCATATCAAAGACAAAAGCCCATCTTAAAATATTTTGTTTGTTGGCCCTGTCACTTCCTGGAAGTATAGCACACTGACATGGGATGGAAATCATGTAAACTTTAGCATCTACCCTTTTATCTATGGGCTGAAAAGCCATACTCATCAGATAATACGTGGCAACTCTGAATGCTACTGTAAGCCAGTGGCATGGGAGAGCATACAGTGTGAGCACAGATTAAATCCTAGAGAAATCTGTCTTCAGCCATTGCTAATCCACATAATTGTATGAGTCCGAATTCTGTACCACAAGGCTGTAAATGCTTCATGGTGGCAAACACATTCCCATCTGTTTAGGAAATCCTAAGGTCTACTAGAGTTTGGAACAAGTAATGATATTTGCTGAAAAAAACAAAGAACTATTTTTGGTTCAAGATACAATATTTGATCCTTGTTTGGATGCCCTAGAATCTCATCTAAAAATATATGGACCAAAATAAGACACTAGGAAATACCTTCCTAAATATTTGGTATGTGGATTCAATCAGGTTTCTTAAAAGTTCACCAACTGTAAGAGACTTCTACTACAGAATAATCTACATGCACTCACATCAGATTAAACTGGTTGTTGTTAAGCTGTGTGAGACAGATTGAAAACAATATTCTCAGATCTAGGTTTCATTATCAGGTTTAAAAATAAGTATCAAGGCTAATAATAGAAAGCACTTCAAAAGTGCCAAAAGAATAGAATTTTAATATCCTGACCATTAAAAATGACAAGTTGGAGAGTGATAGGTATATTCATTAGCTCAATTAAATCTTTCTACGGTGAATACATAGATCAAAACATTACATTGTGTCTGATAAATACAATTATTACTAGCTAATTAAAACTAAATAAATGTTTCTAAAGTATTTTTAAAAAACATTGAGCTTCAGAGTTTTAGCAGGAATTGAAATGATGGGTTAATATTTATCTATGAATGAGGTTTAGCATTACCATTGTGTCAAGCAGTCACTTGTAAACTCAGGTTTAATGAGGTTTCATAATGGCCTCACTGAAATTATTTTGCAAATATTAACTTTTAAACTGAAGGCAAATATCAGTCTTGCCTTAATTTCTAACGCTTGTAGGCTGCCTCATTCATGCAACAGCAAAAGGGTATATTTATGCCCCCACGACACACATACTGGCTCCCTCCTCAAATGCCATCACACCATGCTCACTAATTCCTTCCTAGAAAATGTGTGAAAAGGATTTCCATAAAGGTCTTTGGAGATTTCCTGTGTCCTCATGTGTGTAATGGGTTGAGTCAAATAACAATAAAGGGAAAAGAAAGAAAAGGGAAGTTTGCTTTGTGTATTTTTCTCCTTTTGGCCATTGAAGGGGATAAAAGAATTGAAAAGAAAAAAAAATCATACCATACAGATGATGTTAGTGTTAAATTAAATTAAGATCATTTGTTTACCTATGGTAGCTTTAATCTTTTGATTATTGAAGAGATTTTTGGTAATGAAGTACATTTGTAAGAAATACTGTTATTGTATTCTGTATTTACGTACTCATTGTGAAATGTGCATCTAATGATATGATAGATTTAGAAATGGTCTGTCATCTAAGTTCATGTTTTTCAAATAGCTATTTATAGAAATAAAAGTGATATTTAAGCTAGCATTGTAGAATATTATAGTCTGCTGCATATTACCTTTGATAATAGTCCCATCTTTTAAAATAATGTTGTAAAGCATTCAATTATTTATTCACACCTAAGTTACATAAATTGGAAGATTCGAAAGAGTGTAAGAAAATAATTATTTTTGCTCTCGTATGACTTCACTGTCATGGCTCAAAGAGATTGCCATGAAACAAGTTATGCTATAGATAAAAATAAACCAAGCCAACATGAATTTTTAATAGACAAAAAAGTTTTATAGAGACATTAAAAATAACTATTAATTTTAATCTTTTCTGTTCTGGAAGGCAGTATCAGTGGCCATGGCAGTGTTGTATGTTCAGTGCATATTTCTCTCTCTGATAGGTCCTCAACACTTACAGGGAAATCTCTGAAGATCTGGAAGACGATCTCGGCCTGGGGAGAGCCTACAAAGCCATAGCCAAGGTGCTGCAAAGGTAAGCTCGCACCACCTTGCTGTCTCAGTGAGCCCGCTCAGCTGTGAAAGACTTAAATTGTTTGAGGTCTGTCGCTTTCCATTACTGCCTGCTTAAATTTTAAGCGGTGCCCTTCTTAAGTGACCCTTTCATCATAAGTTATTTTAAACCCATGTGGAACTAAGGACGCATCTGAACTCTCCCTGGTCTATTCTTCCTTTGTATCATTTTCTTTTTGGTTTTCTGTAAGTTTAGCAGTGACCTTGGGTGAAGGGAGGGAGAAAAGCAGGTCGCATCTCACAGGTCAAGGAAGCAGAGAGCAGGGCAGGACGCAGTATGGTTCAGTAGCTGGTTCGCCATAACCTTCTTGGAGCTCTTCTTTGAGAAAATTTCCTATTTAGACCTCAACTATGCTTCTCCCATTAAAAAGATCTCTTCTTTGAGTGTATTTACCCAAACAGTTGAGTACAAAATCAGTATTTCTAGGATTTTATTTAAAACAGAAAATGTAATAAAAGTACACATAAACAACTTCCAATACATAAGTTTTCCCCAAAAAATACATTATTTACCCTTCACTTGTGGTATTACGATCACCGTGTACTCCATTTAGGTGTGCATTATCTAGTAGCCTTTTGACTTAAGCCAAGATGGAATAACAAAAAGAAAATTTATTCAAGCTAAGGTCTTGGTGTTCCATGTTATACCTAATATGAAACTTTTTAATAACAGCAGGAGTGGTAAAAATAAAGATTGTGTTAAGTTTTGATTTCTTTCCATTTATATCTCATGTAACCATATATAGGATAGTAGTTAAAGGGGGACAGTTTTTTTTATTTGAAAGGCAGTTGATTCTTAAACATTAGTAGATTGAAACTGGAATCCTCCTTATATAAGTTCCATTGCCAATATGATAAATCACTGCCTAAAATATCAATGCCAGTGAAATGGTACTTGTTTTGTTTTGTTTTGTTTTGTTTTGAGACACAGTCCCATTGTGTAGTTCAGACTGGCCTTGAACTCATTATGTGGCTTAGACTGGTCTCAAACTCACAGCAATCCTCCTGCCTCAGCCTCCCATGTGCTGGAATTATAGATATAAGCCACCATGCCTGGCTCAATGACAATGAAATGGAAGATATCTTTGAAAAGTGCTAAATAAAACAGAGTCATCAGTGAATAAATGGTTTAGGAACACAGACATACTTCATATGGAGAATATGGAAATTTATTTAAGAAAGACAGAGCCAGCTTCCAAGTAAAGATTGCTAATTAGTTCTTTGATGACCAAACCAGTAACCCTTAAAAGTTTTACTTTCCAAATAACAACCAATTAAAAGATATTGAATACAAAGAAGAGAATGATGAGTATTCAATTTAATGTCTCTTTGGAAAACATCCACTCTGTGCTCTTCTGTCCAGTTCATTTTAACTATTAAATTACTTGACCCTCCTATTATTGCTGCCCCAAATCAGTAGGAAATCACTAGATTCCTCATCTTTCTTCACAGTAACAAACCTGACCTAGGCCTATGTAGATATATAAGTGCATCCTTTACCTCATTCATAAAGTAATTTTACAAAATGACATTTTCATTGTATCCAAACATAACTAAAGAAATGGAGGAAATAGTCTTTTATAAAACTTACCAAGCACTTGCCACAAGTACTATGACAAGATTTCTCACAGAACAAATATTGGACACCCTTTTGATAAATGATGGTCTTTATAATTATGTTTGATCCTTCTGGAAACAGGAAATTGGCCTCAAATAATTCTCACCTTGTTCACCTGTGTCTCATTTGTGACGTTTATTCTCCACCTCAGGATCTGAATTTCTGGCTGGTACAGTCAAAAAAGGGGAGAATTAAATGATTGTCCTACATATTTTGCAATAAGACACAATCTAATATTTTGATTGTTGCATATCTATGATCTGAGGCTTAGAAGTGGGAAAAAACACAGTTATATTCGATTGGCCACAATGTTGAGTGTTTTTTATAGACATAGGGACAATTCTGTCCCAAAATTCTGAGCAGACCAGCAACTTGCCTCAGGGTAAACATATAATGGAACAAGATGACCTATTCCCACTTCGCTTTTATACCAAATAAAAAGAATTCCACTTGTAAAAATTCCCTTCTACAATAGTACAGTAAGGCTATCAATGATTCATGTAGTAGACATAGGGACTTATTTTAAAATGTTATGCAATGTACAGGAGATTACAGAGCGCATTTCTTCTGAAGTCACAGGAGGAAAAATCTCTGAAAGACCACAAATTTCCCATGCAAATCTGGCATTTTGCAATATGGGTGGTTATGGAGGAATGTTCCAGGGAGTGGCAACTTGGCATGTTTCTTCAACAAGAATTCAAGCATTCAAGTTATGACGCAAAATAATTTAGGCATTATCTTTTGACAAGTATATGTTTCAAAACCAGAAATTCTATATAGGTAGGCAGGCTTCAAAACCCTGGATATCTGAAAATCATTATTAAATTAAGTCCATTAAATAGTAAAAGATCACTGGATATAAAAGTTGTGATAATTTTTAGAAAATGTTGCTTTGATGGTTTAATATTTTTCAATAAACATGGATGTCCACACTTCCACATACATGCACAGACACACACACACGTGACCAATCTTCAATTTTCCTTATGGTTGTGTGTGTATGTGTGTGCATACTCATAATACATAATACACATATTCCCTCATTTACTAAAGTAACTAACTTAGTGAATTTTCACAGCTCTTTAACATGTATCATCCTTTTCACAGCCCTAAACTGTCCTCTGGCAGGTTAGCAGCAACATGCAAGGATTGGAACACAGCCAAAACAGAGGAAATTATGGTGGAGGCAGCTGAGAAATAAATCAAGCTGTGTATGAAGCTGAGCATCACCTCTAAATCTCTTTTCCCTAACCTGTGCGGTTGCACCAGTTTCACTAATGGTAGCCCTATCTCTATAAACATATTTTATCTCTTTAAAGGAAATGGAAGAGGATAGGCTCGTCTAAGATAAGTGTGTGTCTAAGGCCATCAGCTGAGCGTGCATGAAAGGTGAATAAGCTCTGAGCCTGGAAGCTTCTAAAATGGTTATAAGAATTTATACTAATCCTTCAGTTGAAAAATGCACCACTTTCTCTCACGACTGAGGATTTGGTAATGTACTGGTGCCCATTTGGTAATGCTAGACCCAGACCTAGAGTTAGATACTGAGGAAGCTTTCAATGGTGAACACGTTATTTTTGCTGTTGATCTGAGTAATTTAAGTACGTAAAGGGTGTAAGCAATGTAAAGGAAAATCACCATTTGCAATGTCTTTGCCCCCTTATTTCAAATCCTATTAAAAAAAAGAATTTGTGCTCTAAAATAGCTTTATGATGCTATTATAAAAGCTAGAATTATGATCAATTATACAAAGAAAAAGCGAGTTGGAAAATTGATAAATAACTATTATTAGTATACAGATAGGTAGTTCAGGTAAACACAGAAGTGACCATCTTCAGTTTTCTTTATGGTGTGTGTGTATGTGTACATTATACACATATTCCTTCATTTACTGAAGTAACTAATTTACTGACTTTTCACAGCTCTTTAACATAATGGCTGTTTAGAAGAATGTAGAAAAATAGGACAAAAATATGTTCATTATATATTGTTCACAACCTGCCCATCTCTGGGTTTATTCCATACCAATTGTCAATTTTCTTGCAAACCCTGATTAAATTATGTCCTAGAAAACTTTCTACAGTGTAGATCTTTAAATCAATCAGTACAAAGTTTCAAGTGTGGAAATTACCTTTCTATTATAGCTGAAAATTAATTTCTTCTTGCTTGAGAGAAATGACACGCCCTAGTAATTTTCATATATTCTTTAAAATGGAACATTCAGGTTTTGATGCAAAATTTCGTAAAAATGACCAAAAAATACATCAAAACATTTCTATTAATTCATGAGATTAAGAATTGCGTTTTACATTTTCTCCTGTCACTGATCCCATTTGCCTTATTACTTTCATCTGTGGCCCACCAACTTGGTGGCACAATCAACAAACCCCTCAGTGGCGGTTTCATCTCTGCTCTATTTGATTTCTTCTCTCTGAGTAAATGATTAAGTTTTCATGCATTGGTTCAACCAAAATCTATGTTCACTCAACCACATCCTTTATTGATTACTTCTACTGCAAACAGTAGGCCAAGTGTGATATACATAATTGGACAGTTGTCAGGGGACGTGGGTGTTAACAGTCCTGTTTTCCCAGTTGGAAACTGGAATCACCTTGATACACAAATATTCTGCACTGTTTCATTCTCATTCTTTGGACCGAGGAGGTCCTGTTCCTCAGAATATATGTTTTTAACTCTCTAAGGTCCGGTTGAATGAATTTAATGATTATACCATATAATATGGTGTTCAAGTTGCACCTGTGCACTGCGTATAGAAAACTGGAATTAATATTTGTCTAACATTTTAACCTTGCCCTTGAACTTACACGGATAATCTGTAGCCTTCCTGTAGCAAAATATTTTAATTTTTTTTCTTCTTTCAGGGAAAGACTGACTATATCTATTGCTTCATCTCACATTTTGAAATCCGTTAACCAACGTATATTGTGTGTATTCCAGCTGCAATATTACAGACCTCGTTGGCTGTGGGGTTGTACATTTATTGAGTGCAACATATTCTTTTTGATAAAAGGACTGTTTCCTAGCATTATTTGTTAGAGCAAGTCCAAGATAATTTTGGATGTCTGCAAGGTCTGTTGCTCTTTTGGGGAAAAAAAAACTTGAATCACTCAGCAATATTTTTATTTACTCGATTTTATATTTCTTGTTCACTGAATGTGGTTTGTGTTGCTGATATTTTCGAGTTTATTTTGAGTTAGCAATCCTCAGCAGGCCAAACTTAGTCTAAAATGTATTTCCTTCAAAAATATATCCGCTTTCAACACATGAACATAAATAAGCTTCAGCGAGTATATTTCAGCTAAATAATGTTATTTTAAATTTTTCCTGAGTTTGAAAGTAATAGGCAAAAATGTCTCCACTTCTTTTTTTTAGAAACAACTTTACAGTAAATACAAATCTGGTAAAACGTATTAGCTCTAGAGATTTTCTTTATATTTGATTTATTAATTTATATACTTGACTTTTATTTACTAATGTTGCATATCCTTGAATTCTCTCAACACCTTTTGGTTTTCACATAACACAAATACACAAATTAAAATAATTAATTTACTTCTTGTTTACTTTATGCTTGCTTTTGAAAAATTCCTCAAATAATTATAACTTCTGGAGAACTGGCCTGTGGAACATTAGTCACAATTGTGTTGTGAAAAAAATGAGAACAGAATTATAGAAAGCAGTACTTACAAATTCAGCAAGTGTAAATTTCCACTTTATATTGGTAAAATACGCTTTTACCAGTAAGAAAGGAAGGAAAAATACATTTTCTATATCTGATACTTAAATTAAAAAAAATATATATGTTGACTCTAATCTCCAGATAGTAAATGCCAGGACATTATGTGGCTTTCTAGTTCATTTGTTTTAATTATAGTGTTTAGTTCATTGTATGATAAAAAGTTTTCGGGGCTGGGGATTTAGCTCAGCGGCATAAGCGCCTGCCTTGCAAAAGCAGGCAGTCGTGAGTTCGATCCCTGGTACCGATAAAAAACGAAAAAGACCAAAAAAAAAAAAAAAAGAAAAAAAAAAAAAGAAAAAAAAAGTTTTCAAACAGTTATTCTTAGCTACGTTGAATTTTCTTCTTAAATCATGGTAGATAGTATGAAGTACAGTGGGAAGACAAATAGAATAACCACTTATTTTGAGGAGAGATCATAATCATAATAGCAGCTATGTACTTAATACCTACTTTTTGCCAGGCTTTACATTTACACAAATTTTCATCACACAGCAATTTGTGGTCATTCTAAACATAAGATAACATAAGTTTTCTTCAGCTCATAGCTTTGATACGATCAAATTTTTTCATCTAAAAGGCTGAGATGGATTCACACCCAGATATTTCTAAAATCCACAGCAGCATATTGTCACTTTAGAATTCTTTTTTTATTTTATTTGGCACCTGGAATCAAACTCACGACCTCATGCTTGCCTGGCAGGTTACGTAGTTATCTTATTTTATAAACATATCACTCTTTACCTATGAAAATAAATGTTCTCCCTCAAATCTTGGAAGGTTATGCAAGCTAACATCCCTAATTCTGTCACTATGTGTTTCAAATAAACTCCCATAAAATGCTTCCTGACGTATTCTTGTGACATATTCTTTAGAATAACTCAAGTGGCAACTCATCATTTGCAAGGTAGGTTTGGTGTTTAGAAACAGCCCAAAGAATTTAAAGTCACATTTAGCAACCACAGCAAAAAATCCCGATGTTCCCATTTTGTGAATAAAATTCACTGAGTTGTGAATGCACGCTTTATAACACTACTATGAAGAAGTCTTCTCTAGAAGCTTTCCATCGTTAGATGTTCTCTTCCATAATAAGCACTTAGCAGGAGCTGTCTTCCTTTGCAGGCTAGGAACATCTGGGAAATTGGAAAGGAGAATCTGAAGTGTGGGGGGAAAGGGGCCAGACGTGAGCATCTTAAGTTACAGCACTATTGCAGTCCTCTGTGAGAGACAGGGAGAGGAAGGTTCTAGCCAGAACTTTATAAAGACCCAACTTTGGGTGGGCAGAGAGCTCAAATTCATATGAGATCTGGAAAAAAAGTAAGAGACACCAAAGAAGTGAGAGAATAGAAAGCCAACAGTGCCAAATACGAGGGACAGGAAAACCTCTGGAGAAAGAGGGGACGACTAACAGCAGTGATTCAACGTATATTATGAAGATGTAGGTAAAGGTGGAGGAGGAACAAATCAGTGGCAGATGAATAAACAGACATGATACACATTTTTATGCATCTCAAAATTCAAAGATGTCGGTATATATTAAAATTTTTCCAATGTATATAAATGCAGCTGGGCACAGTGGTTGTGTGACTGTAAGCCCATCTCTGAGAGGCTGAGACAGGAGAATCACAAATTCCAGTCCTGCCCAGACAGCTTAGAGACTGTCTCAAAATTATATATATGTGGGGATGTAGCTCAATGGCAGAGTGCCCTGGGTTCAGTTCCCAGTACTCAAAAAAAAAAAAAAAAAAAAGAAACTTGGCATTTCTATGTGTGATCTAAATGACAAAACTTCTAACACATTAAGTTGAAGTTTTAATTCTGACAAAGCAGCCACATATTTGTTAATTTGGCATTTGTTTTCATTACCCTGACAACCATCTTGCATTTTTTAAAGCAATGGTACAAAATTAATCTTTTCAGTGTAACACTGAGATAATACTGCAGTGCTTTCCAATTTTTTTTTTTTCTAGCCAAGGAGAAATGATAGAAGCCATCAAATACCTGAAAAAAGTTGTGGAAATTGCAAGAAACAATTTTCAAAGCCTGGACATTGTAAGAGCAAGTACAATGCTTGGGGACATCTATAATGAAAAAGTGAGTATGCGTGTTTCTCGTTGTGGAGTTCACAGTCTTAAAAGTCCATACCATCTGATCCTTGTCCTCCCACGATGTATTAAGCAGAATGTCTGAGGCTGAGAAGGGTTAATGTACAAGGCTAAGACGGGGAGAGAGAACTCTCCCTCCTCCCTCCTCCTCCCTCCTCCTTCTTCTATCAGCCTTCCTATTTCCTCTCCCTCTTTTTGGGATCTCTTGGTGCTGTCTGCGGTTCCCAGGAACTGCTAACCTTGATTAATATATTCATTTATGAGTTCATGTGATGTCCTAGGCCGAGTCACCCAGGAGAAAAAATAACAACCCCAAAAATGACTTTGAATGGGATTTAAAAAGTAATTCCTACAACATTTTAGGTCTGTGAGGGAAAAAATAAAGAAGAGGAAAGAAAAGTCTAAAATAAAATTAATTAAATAAAATTATCTCATTCCAGGACCATTACTGGTCAAATTCACTGGTCATAATGGATTTTTGGCTTCTTCTTGCTACCTAGATTCTTCATGAGAAATTATATGAAAGAGGCCTATTTTTTAGTTATAACTGGTGTTCTGATCATTAACAGAATCCATCATTTCTTGAGGGTAATTATGTTCTCTGTGTTCATACATGCTATTTTAATTTCTTTGAGAGGCTGTATGTACAGTAATTTAAGCACTAGCTCTGAACCAGACTGCTGAGGCTAAAAGGCCAACTCTTCACTTAAAGATCTGGGATCTGGAGCAAGTTATTTACACTTTCAGGTACCTCAAACAACTCACCTCATAAGGTGAGTGATTAGCATACTTAAGCCTTAGAGTAGTGCTTTCTAATAAGTGTTATCTGTAGCAGCATTAGCTGTTATTATTCTCTGCACTTTTAGTCACTGTGCTCCTCCAGACCCTTGGAGACCTTCAGTTACACCAAGTCCCAATTCCACATGGCAGTGGCACTCAAACCCACACGATTCACCACTGCATCACTCTTTTATTTGTCATAAAGTTGACTTCATGTCAGAATGATTTAGGATTTTTAAGGAAATGAGTTTGAACTCAGTTTGAATGAATGAAGCTAGCTTTCTTCATTTCCAGTCTTTGCAAACAAGGCGCATGCTCCGCTTTCTCTCCACCCTCTCTCTTGCTCCCCCTGACCCTTTGCCCCCCCCCCCCCCACTCTGCTGTGAGCCTCAGTACCCTGCCCCCTTGATCTCCCCTCCTGGTCATGTCCCCCGCTTTCTAGCCTCCTCTTTCCCGGCCTCTGATCCTTGTTCTCTCAGCCTCTCCCTCCTTTCTCCATCTCCCTCACTTCATTTCCCCTCTTCCTTTGTGCCCTCCTTGTCTGATGCCCCAACTGCCCACAGGTTCCCTGTCCTGGTTCCTTTGTCCCACTGCCCCAGCTCCCAGCCCTCTGTGCAGGGCCAACCTCTGCTCTCTTGAGCCCTCAGGCTGGTTTTGTGTTTGCTTCTGTACTGTTAACCATCACCCTGCCATAGTGCCTGTTTACTAGTTTATTCTGGTGCCTAGAGGTGCCCTTGATAAAGAGTCAGTAAGCAGACCCCTATCAGGTCATTGAACTAATTCTGTAATCAATTTCAAACTACTGGAAAGTAGTTTTCTCTCACTTTTCACACTCCAAATTCCTATTTCATTTTTGCACACTATTTTAGCATTTTAAAAAGTTATCCTAAAGTTGCAAAAGAAAACCTAGTATTGCTGCTATTCACGAGTCTACCAATTAGACCCGTGATAAACCACCTCATCGTACATTTCCTGGCTTTTGTAGTATTCCTGTGAGGAATTGTAATTGTACTCTTCACAATAATTTCCAAGAAATAATATAAGACAAAAATTATAATCAAAATTGTATTTGGAAAAATATAAAAGCATTTTCTGTGATGACTATAATAATAATTAAATAGTCAAAATTATAGCATCTTAAAAATATCCTTTATCCCAGTTAGTTTATCTTTCACACTCTGGGATGATCTTTTGATGGGCTGCTAATTGAAAACATATAATTAGTATAAGGAGAATGTTTCCAGGAAGATAATCAGGTTTAGACCTTGTATGAGACTTGATATTCTTTAATAATATTGGAGAATAACCTCATAGCTAAAAGAATGATAGGAAAATAAGCAGGCAAAGGATTTACCCTTAAAACTGAGGAGATATCCATTTATTTTGAGCTTGCTTGTTGGTTAGCGTGACATTTTAGACATTCTGAAGAAGGATCTGGAAAGAATCGGAATAACACTTGAAAATTCTGTTATAATGTAATAATTCAAGCTTTGTTTCAACATCTGTGATGTCACTGAGATCCTGTCCTGGAATTATCTACTAAATGCTGGCCAGGGTTCTGTATAATGTAAACTGAAGTTGTCTTCTCCCCATAAGATGTATTATGAAGTATATAAATTCATCATATATTTTAAAACTCATATTTAAGATTGCTGGGGCTAATTTCTGGAATCTTCTGAATTTTGTAATAGAATGAATATTATTTAATAATAGAAACTAACTATAGTACATTGTTTGGAAGCTTTACAGATTAGGTAAATTCTTTTAAGAATTAAAACAACAGGAAATACAATACACTTTAGTCAGCTCTCATTCCAGAAAGGTATGTATGAAAATCAAAATCTGAGATTTAATATTGTATTTCCTTAGCAGTATTTTAAACTAGAAAAATGTACACCAGCCTCTACCTTGTGGCAATTGTATATGTGTCGAAGATGGATTTCTAGGAACAATCTGAGGGAAGAATTATTGTTTAGTTATGATCTTCCTATTTTAGGGGCCAAAGCACTTGCTAAATAAGCTCTAATGAAAGTTTCAAACTTCACTAGTTCATCTAATAATTGCAAGCTCAATAACTAGCTGCTGAAAACTGCATCCTTTGCTGAATTACCATTGCCTGGGAGCTTTGTACATAGTGGTTGCCTAATGAGTGAACCAACAAATGAGAAAGTTAATTTTAACATTACCGATGTAAAAACAATTCTTGAAATTCAAATATATGTCCATTTATTTCTGGTTCAGATTTCTTAGTTGAAATTGTCACCTAAAACAAATAGTTTAAAGCTCAGAAACACAAGTAGAATAACAATTAGATAATTAAATTTCTCAGTAAAGAATGGAGAAAGTGCCAGTAATCCCAGCACTCTAGGAGACTAAGCAAAAGGATTTCAAGTTCAAGCCCAACATGAGTGATTTAGAAACTTAACAAGATGCTTCCTCAAAAATTTAAAAAAAGGCTACTACAAAGGCTCTTGGGTTCAAACCTAGCACAGGAAAAAAAATTGTATATCCCTGTTTCTTAGAAAAATGCAGTCATACATTTTCATGCATTTTATTCTATGTCTTAGATGCCTACTTGGACAATCTATAGTTTTAACCAGTTTATTTTCATCATCAGTAATATTTGTATCATTCCTCAGGCAGAGTCTACTTAACTGGCATATACATGTCTTTGATTTAGCTTTATTTTTTTCCTAATTAATCTTTTTCTTATGCAAGTTTTATGTTTTATGATTTGAAATAAAAAAATTTGTTAACAGATAAAACTTTAACAGACAAAAGTTATTACTCATATAATGCAGAAGAACTCTTTAACAAACTTAGCTAGAAAGCATAATTGGAATAAACAGTTCGCCTTGGCCCTCCTTGTATATGACACACACTGCTGTGTGTGCTGCTAGTTTATGTTGCATAACTGTCACATATGTCTTGTTTGATTCTCTCCTCATCTTGCTAGCAAATTCTTTTACAGTCCTCTGATTCCTACCTGAGCTCCAAGGTTACATGAGGATGAGGATGGGGGAGGTGAAGATGCATTTAACTGGACTAGTGAATGGTACAGAACTGCTACTAGGTGTTTTATGTCAATTTCCTTCAATAAAATGTTGTCAGAAGACAACTTAAAAATCCATAGTAAATTCTGGGCTTAGTGGTACATGTGGGTAATCCCAACACCCAGGAGGCTGAGGCAAAATGGTCACAAGTTTAAGGCCATGCCAGGTACAAAATCTGACCTAAGTCTCAAATGATCAAAACACCCTCCCCAAAAAAATCTCATAGTAGAACATTCTCTTAGAAGAATTTCTTTTGTAAAGACAGTTCATGTATGTCTTTGAATTTATTTTTTTATTATTTTAAGGGAACATGTTTATGGGAAACAGAGTGATAGTTCAACACGTGTATATAATGTGTACTGATCAAATCAGGGTAATAATTCCATCTCTTGATCACTTCTTTGGTGTGGAATACTTGAGCTGCTCCTGGTTACTGATAAAATATATCCCAGTCTGAGCTGCAGAAAACTTACTACTTCTGTTTGTGTTTGGTGCCATGGATTCCTCTCTTTGTGTCTATGGAATGGAGGAGACAGTGCAGTTGAAGCCAGAAGAACCATAAGTCAGTGAAGAAAGGAAATGTTCTGTAGAGTCTTTACAAGCAGAACTCAATTGTAGAAACAATGTCATGCTTTAAGAATTAACTTTGGTGAGGATCTACAGAAGATTTAGAGGTGCCTGAAGAGAGTCTTCTCAAAGAGACAATATTTTTTAAAGACTGGGTATTATTATCAGTGAAATAAGACCATATTCCTCAGAGCATGAGTTGCACAGGCTAATGACATAGCAAAGTACTTGCCACTGGCCCTGATGGTTCCCAAAAGCTACGTGAAAACTTTTTGCAGGGGAAGAATAGCTCTTAGGAGAGGGAAGGATGACCAAAACCAAACCAAATAAATAGAAAAATACCAAATCTTAAGTTTTTATAATATGAAATATTATAGTGAACTTAGTGGAAAGGTAGATATGTAAATAAGTGTATTTGTGATTCTGGTATTAAAATAGTATTTTTAAATGTAGTTTGCCTTACATTCTCAATCAAGAATGACAGGTATATATACTAGAAAACAAGAACAGTAACAAAATTAACTGACAGATACATTTATAGTCACTAGCCACTGGTTAAATGGGTGCACTGAAAATGGCTTTCTGGGCCTGAAAACAAAAGTAGCTAAATTTTGTTCATTAGATAAATACAAAGATACAAGTGATAAAAATTCTATTAAAATCAATGAGTTATCTCACTCCTTCCCAAATTGTTTTCACTAGAATATATTAGGTTGAACCATGTGAAAGTAACATTTTTTATCTAAAAGAACTTAAGTTTCATGTGATTCGATCTAATAGGCACAGCTTTCTTTCAAATTAATTTTAAGTTCTTAAAGAGCAAGCAATAATGCTGTTAGAAAAAAGCCTATTATAACAGAGAGCTGGTTTATCATCCTCCTTCTTGAAGAAGAATTGTCCAGTGATCAATGTGTAACGTAACAGGTGAGCCAAGCAAACGTGTGGAATAGTGAAATAAAATTAAGAAAAATGTTTTCTGTCTTCCCTTGTTAGGGACAGTACAACAAAGCCTCTGAGTACTTCCAGCAAGCTTTTGACACAACAGTAGAGCTAATGAATGCGTCACTGATGGAGGAAACACAAGTTCATTATGGAATAGCCAAAGCCCATCAGATGATGCTGGCCATGAACAGTTACATAGAGTCTCAAAACCTCTCCAGCCTTGACTACTTGCTGTCCTGGAAGGAGTGCAGACGTGACACTGACCTTGACCTGGCTGTTGGTAAGGCTTTGATCTTAAAAAGCTCTTTTGTATCATTCTTAATAGTTAAGTCTTTTTCACTGGAAAAGTTTATTCCACCATTGATTCTAATTGGACTGGGAGTTTTGTTTTCAGTCAATTCTTTACTACATGAAGGTTGGGTATACTTTTGTGCCAGATTGTCCCTTCAATGTTTAAGAGAAGCATAAAAATAATAGTCATGATTTCTCCAACCTGAAAAATCCAGTGTTTCTCCAGTCACTTCAAGTAGCTCCTAATATCTACTAATCAGTTATAAGCAATGTGAAATATGCTTATGCTTTTTAAAATGCTCAGTGTCACATCATATAAGGACAAGAACAAATGTCGACAGATGTTTGTCAAACAAGAACAAATACTGATAAATGTATTATACACTTATCTTACTTATGGCAGCTAATGTTCCTATTTCTTATGAATTTGAGCTTGAATGTTAATTCAGAAAAGATGATATAATTTCTCTTTATAACTACTTTTTCCCCTACACATTTTTTCTTGGGAAGAATTAGTTAAAACAGACAAAAACAAACAAGTAGAGAGAATAGAAGCACCCACTCTGTGTGTCAACTTGGTTAGTTAATTCTGTTACTGTTCCTGTTTTACAAAATATGTACCTGTCATTCTTCACTAGGTTGACATTGTGCATCAGCTTGGTTTGGTTCTTATTCTCAGTAAAGAATGCTAAAATGGAGTATTTAAAAAATAAACAAACAACAGCAACCACAACCAAAAAACAAAGTACCTTCTATGCTAGACATTGGAGTTACATAATTATTTGTTTGCAAATCAAACTTTTTTATGTGAATATTTTATTTAAGCGTAGATCCATTAGAATCATGAGGCAAAACCTTTGTGATCTGAACTCTTTTTCTCTTCCTTCAGTCATTTAGATGAGCCAACAATCCACTCTGGTATTGATTTTCTTCATAGAATAAACTAGTAAATAGTAGTAAATTAGGCACAAAAATTTCACATATTTTAGAATATGATTTTTTTCTCTCTGTTCCCAGAATGACTGTCTTTCACTTTTCTGTAAGCACTTTTCATCCAGCATCTCGCCGTTTCTGTAATGCTTTTAGTTGCTCAATTAAAAGTATAAGTTTCTCAAAAACACATCTTGATTCTTGGTATTTTCTACAGAAGACACAATGTTTGACTACCAGAGTCCCAAGTAAATATTTATTGAATTAAATATAATTCAAGGTGAGTATGTATTCCAATCCTGAACTCATTTACCCTAACCATTTTTTAAAAACAAAATTCATAGTTGGCCTGAAAAGCCTGTGATCCCACACCCACTTGGATTACCATCCAATTATCACATGAATGAAGAACGACACTCACCAAACATGATGTTGACAAAATGAAAAAATACAAAAATATTACTGGGAAACCTAAGTCGCTTTTAAGTTTTCAACTTTTGCCTTTCTTCTACGAAGAAGCATCTTTAATCTTGCTACTGAGGGGTCCCATGTATTCAGAAAAAAAGGAGATCAAATACTTGAAAGATACATGATAAGAGCTGTACAGTTATCGTCACCTCTGAGACTGCTGTCCTCCAAACAAATCATTAGCTTGGAGAGCAGGCAATATTCTTTTAAGCAGAGGAACATGACCCCCTAAGGGAATAGAGCAGTGAGAGCGCTCAGGTCCCCAGATGAAATAGAGCTGTGACTCACCAGCACCAGGCTCTCATCTCTACGTCTTGCAGAGGGCACCCGGCACACACAGGCACCCTCTCACTCTGCTAACACTTACTCATGGCTGGAATGACTCATACTCCTCCTTCCCTTCCCAGTAGCCAAATAAGAAAAGATTCCTCTCCCAAATTTAGGAATTTAGAAAAGAATTCGAATTTCTTACACTTCAATAAAATTATTCAAGCCTGAAGCCACAGAAAGTGGTTGGCTCTTAAAGCTTAAGGGCCTATGAAATGCTGCTGATTTCTCCAGAGTATACTTTGCCTTCCTTACTGGAACTACTATCTCTCCAGTAGAAGAGGAAAAAGAACGTAAGTCAGAAAGCCTAATTTATCTTGTCTTTTGGAGATCACAGAATCAGATGCTAAATAGCAATACAAAAACATTTTCCGTATTCAATTTAATAGCAATGTAACCTAGACATTTAATGATAGTCATTTAAATGCCAACATTGTTAACCATGTCATCGATAATAATTATATCAGTAACATGACTTTAATGCACTTTGTTATTGTAGCCAAATGTGAAGTTTATCAGACAAATAAAAAGCAAACCCTGAGTATAGGACTAGATAAAAATGCTGGCTTGTCAGTACTTAAAGACACTGTTTCCTGTGAAATGCATGTAAAGATTTACTTGAGTGGCAAAAATATCACACTAGTTTTATGAATAATTTAATATTATCAAAAGAGTCAAAATCTTGACTGTCTCACAGGGCTTGGTTTATGTAGTCTTCATGTTACACTCAAGGTTTAATATCATATCTTTTCCATACCCTGTTCCTTGGTTGTGGTTTTTATCAGCAAACTCATCCTTGTAGTGAATGAATGCAAAAAACCCAATCACAAGTCAACCTTCACATTCTATGATGGTCAGCTACTCCCATTTGTTAAATAGTCTTAATAATGAGGACAAAGGGATAGTAATAACTGAAAAGACAAGGTTTCATCCATCCTGTCATCACACAGTGAATCTCTGCACTTCCTAAAATGTTCCAAACTGTGACACAGAAAGTGATTCTGGTGAAAACTATCGCTGAATCAAAGCTCACCTTCCCGGCAGTGTGGTGTCACTGAGATGAGCTATGACACAGGAGCCTACTGATCTGGTTTCTAGCGCCACACTGAGCACTCGATAGCTTTGTGATGTTCAGCAAAAGATTTCAATTTGAGTTTTCTTAGCTTGTTATCTCACATTCAACACAGATCATTGATAGATTCCTCTGGAACTGATCATGCCTCCTCAGTAAGAGCTTTTTCCTGAGTATTTTGTAGTCTTTAAAAGTACGATATAGATTTCCATGAGCAATTGTCAACCATCCCTGCAAATGTAGGTTTCTGTGGGCTTCCACAAAAGAAGATGTATTGTCATTATCGTTACATATTAAACAACTGCACAAATGCCGAGTCTAAGGAAATCTTTCTGCTAAAATGTAGACATTTCTAGCTCTGATATCATGTACAATTTTTCTTTGCATCAATAACATTGTTGAGGTTTCTAAACCAAGCAGACTATTTCACCCGCAGGTATTTCAATTCATCCTCCTATTTCCAACTTTGTGTCCTGCTTCTTCTTAGTATTTGCTCAGCCCCTGCCCTTCTCTCCACTGTTTGTAGAACTATCAATTCCTAAATATACCACCCTTCTACTTATTGTTATTTTTTTCTTCTTGCACTTCAGTTTGCAGTGGCCCTACCTCTAAATCCTTTACTTTTCCTACTTTTTCTTTCCGTCTTCTGAAAATACGTTAAACTCTACTTGAGATTTGTTGAGTTTTGCAGAATCGTGAAATGGTTTAGTTGTATAGTGCCAAAGAAATCCATTGGTATTTATTGGTACTTTCAAATGTCCTCAGGCCCAGGGAAAGCTGTCATGCAATAATACCTAAAGGACAAAATGCATTTCTAGTTCTAGTCTCTACAATTCTAACCCAAGGTTCTTTATATATGTTGCACTTTCTTAAACATCATAGTAGTTCATAGTTAGTATAAGCTATGTCTAGCATTTTTTTCATGTTTATTTCTATTTTTACTTTGTGCTCTGACTGACTTACAGCTCTGTTATAGCTTCCCATTAAAAACAACAGTGGTTATGAAGATGGACAAGAAATAGTAAACTGACTTAAAATGTTAGTTAAAAACTGCTAGATTTGTGGCCATGCCTAGGATTTCTGACATTTTAGACTAAAATCTGGATAAAAATAATCACAGAGAAAAGAAACAGATATGAGTCCCCTTCTGATCCTAATGGAGTAATGAGACCAAGGTTTACCCTTTTGCTTTAAATGGTTGAAAAAGCAAAGCATATGAGACAACTTTTTTGTAGACATTATGACAACAGGCAGCACAGCATGGTGACCTTTGTGAAAGGGAAAATAAGTGGGTTGAGCTGCATAAGTGCCCCAGGGTTTTGCCTAGAAAAGGTTCCTAAGTTACAGCACAGAAGGGGAAGCAAGGCAACCTGAGAACAGAAGAGATGAGAAGCTGACCTGCAAGTTCAGGGAGGCTGAGGTGTCTGTGTTCACAGCAAATAATCTGACAGAAAAGAGCTGCACAGGGAAAGAGAGTGCCAGAGTTCTGCAGTCTTCAGCTGAGTACTGATGAGTATGGGCTTGGGAGGAAACTACCGAAGGCCAGAGAAAGGACCACATAGAACACTTAGGCTTAAACACAGCTGGGAATCCTTTTGTGTTCCCACCAATCAGGAAAGCCCAGAGAGAATGGGGCATCAGCGGGAGTCACAAGGGCGCTGCCTCAGTAGTGGGGAATATTTAGCTCTAGAGGAAAGGCTACTTTGGTGCAACCTAACTGAGCCAAAAAGTGAGTGTCCAAAAGATCAAACATCTTTAAGTAAACTGAGAAGAACAAAACTCAAGAATAAGGAATAGGAGAAAGAAATATCTAGCAACTCCACAGAGTAAAATTTTCAATATCTGTCATGCAATCAAAATTATCTTAAAAAGCCAAGAAGCAGGACAGCAGGACACATAATAATGAGAACTAAGAGAAACTGACTCCAAGATGACATAAGTGGAATTATCAGCAGACAAAAGCATAAGGCAACTGTTTAAAGTATACCATCCATACGTTCAAAAAGTTAGCAGCAAAGTTGAACTTGTAAAGTCAGAGAAGAAAAATTAAAAGGATCAAATTGAATTTCTAGAAGAAAGAAATGAAATGACCATAATGGAAAAGTAAATAGCAGATTAGAAAATGCAGAGAAAATAATGAACTTGAAGATATAGCCATAGAAACCATCAAAATTGAAACACAAAGATAAAAT